TTCATTTTTTGTTTTTATTTTTTTCATTGTGTTTATGTTTTTGATTTTCAAAAAATATACGCAAACATTAAAAAATAAAAATAAAAATACAGGGTTGTGGTCCTTGAAAAGTATACAACCCTTTTTTTTTTTTTATCATTATGTTAAGCACAGGAAAAAAATCACTCCGGACCTCTTTTATTCGCGTCTAGCTTGCATTTAAAGAGGATTCGACGTGAATTCAACGAGAAGCCCGCATTGAATCGAAAATCTGACACATAGTTGAATGGTTCAGTTTTATGCTACCTTAAAAGACTAAGTGCAAATATATATATATATATAATATAACTATTTCAAATAGTTCAGGGCGACTAAACATTGTTTGTAAGTTGAATGGCCTAGCCACATGTCCAAAGAAGAGAAAAGTAGTAATGCCCTATGTTTGTGCATATTCAATGGTTGAGCTACACTTTATTTCTAAGTTGAATGATCTAGCTCTACGCCTTATGTAAGCTGGGTATAAGGGATAAATCATTGAGAGATTACGAACTATTGTTGACAAGGTTCAACCTTGGGACAGGATAAAAGTACTTAACATTGTGGTATGGACTCGCATGTGGTTGAGTGAGAGTTTTACTTGATCCGAGTTTCAGTTTGATAGATAGTTGCTTTAGTTGCTCGTCACACGCTAGAGTTATAGGAGTTAGTTTAATTCCTGCATTTTCTAAGTTTGCTTTTTTTTTTACTAAGGTCAATTATCGCATTTTTTGTACCAATTTTGAAAACCTACTTTCTCTATGGGAAGCGCTACGGAAATTTCTACAAATCCAATGAATAAGCTAAATTTTGGCTTTTCAAAGTTCAAATTTTGTCTAAGTTTATATATTGCTTAGTAGGAAAAAGGAAAGCTGCTTTCTTTTTTAGGGGAAATGTGACCCAAAGTTTTGCTAATTCAGGCGGTTAGACAAAATATGACTTTGAAAAGTCCGAATCGTTTCAGATTATGTACTTAGTCTTGTATAAATTTAAAAAGTTACTCTCTACATGAAGCGCTGCCAAAATTTTTACAAAGTTAAGGAGTTAGTTAAATTTTATTTTGGCAAAAACTCAAGCCTTATTTCGAATTCTAATCTGACTTGGTATAAATTTGGAAAGTTCAATTCTCTAAAGGCGATACTGCCCAAATTTTTACTAATTAAGGAAGAAAAAATTGACTTCCTAGAGTCATTTGAATTTTAATATTCGAACGAGTATAAATTCCGATAATACACTTTTCCTACGGGAAGCGCTGTCGAAATTTTCTTAATTTTGAGAAGTTAGATAATATTAAAATAAGTACGATTCTCACGATTATTTGAGTGAAGTGTGATATGGAGGTTCGTTCTCCATGGACTTATAAGTTTTAGTCTTGGGATTGACTTGTCTTGTGTTACAAGAGCCCTTGATCATTTTGATTCATACTCTGATTAGATTCAACTTGATCCCACGAGAATCGTCTTCTGTTGTCATTGATAACAGACCGGTTGCTGATTCGTCAGTTTACGACTCATCTCTAATTCACTCTCGCCACTCGACCTTAAGGCTTTAGCCCCCGTGGTTTAAACATTTTCGTTAGGTTTTCACCCATACTTTATTAAATGGTCATTTAATAAAGATACTTAGTATTTTATTATGAAAGGTTGGACAAAGGTTGAGGTTTGTGAGACTTAAGTGAGGGGTATGAGCGCAAAGAATGGTTGAACTTGACCCCGTGTAGTACGTTGACTTTTCGTTGAATCTTTGATGTGATAGCATACATGTTTATGGTTCAGACTCTGGATTTAACTGCCTACGATCATATATATATATGGTTGAAGGGAGCCTCACGGTGATTGTGAGATGTGATCGTCTCATGTTTTATAACCTTTTATATATGTATCTGCGTAGCACAACGAACGTGTTCGCTCGCACGAACAGCTCGCGAACATGTTCGGGCGAACATAATTTTTTTTTCGTAAAAATAAAAATAAAAAAATTCGGTTTTTTTTTTTTAATTCATGATTGGTTACGAATTTGAACATGACTCCAAGGCAAACGTTTCTTGTATCGTTATTTTACATAACATATATTTTTTTCATAACATATATTTTTTTCAGATTTTTCAGAGAACTTTGTTTGTTTGTTTTTTTTTAATACTTTTTCTGTTCGCGTTTGGAGGGTTTTGGGCGCTTGTTCGCGTTCTGATGAACATGTTCGCGTTTGCCTCTGAAAGCGAACACGGTGCTACGTAGATATGTATATATATATGCCTCAAGTATTCGCGCGATCTACGATGACAATGCGTAAAGGTTAAACAGATTGTGCGTTGAGAGAAAAGAGAGACCCCTTTTTTTCTTTTTTCTTTTTAGATTTATGACAGTTGGTCGTTGAAATCAGTGACAACCGTCAAAGTCAAACCCCTTAATTTCTCTCCAGGTCCTGGATGATGGAGCTTGTATCCATGGTCATAAGGGTAGACTTCTACAACAGGCAGGAGTCTGTGTACCACCCACTCTTCGTAGGGTGTGGAAGAGGGTGTGGTTTTCAACCACCTTGGTGAGCGTCAAGTGTCGAGAGATTAACCCCTCAAGGCGCGTGTCAGTCGACACTTGAGTCTCGAACGCGACCCTCGAGACCATCGGGGGCCACGTGATTATGGGTTCTGCATAGTACGCCATCGTTGCGACTACTTGCGTATGCGTGCATGGCTAGCCGATATGAGAAAGTCCACCATCCGTGCGGTTTTATCTTAAGTCTCACGCCCGACGCCGAACCGATTTTCGTGTCAAAAGGTTATGGGTTGGGGACTAAAGAAAGTAGGAGTGTTTTGTTTTGTGTGAGTGATCTGACTTTTGTTTTTGGCGTGGTATAACGCCTAACAAGAAGGATGGGTCCTGGTCGATCGACGTCGAGTCGCGCTTGGGATCTCAGCCCTCCAATGCATCGATTCATGTACGGGGCCAATAGAGGCGTGAGACCGCGCATACCCCCTATGCTACAGCGTACGAGAAACGCCCCCGGCTGGGCCACCCCTGCGATTGCAACTGATTAACTTTCGCAAGTGGTTCAATAGCTCGGCGGGGATACACCCACCTAGGGGATGGTGAGAACTCCCGCAGGTGGAGGCAAGTTGTACCTCGCGTGACCCTATCCTGTCGTAGGGGTTCGCGAGAGGTATGGCCGGCGCACTCGGCATGAAGGTCGACGAAAGCTCCATTGCACTGCGATAAAAAGATAAAGACCTGCACGAAATCCTGCGTGACTCGGCCGGGAGGGTCCCCTTGCAGGACCGATGCGCTCAAAACCGGCAACAGTTCGTCGGTGTACCAACTGAGCCGTAAAAGCTTTTTTTTTTTTTCTACAAAAAGTAAAAGGTTTTTGATTCAGGCGTGGGCCGGTAGTGAAGGCGGAAGGCCACTCACGAGCCTTGGAAGGCAGCTTATTCAAGTTTATGTGAAGTGCCCCAGCAACTGGGCTCGAATAGTACGTACTTCAGCTAGGGATGGGTCTGCCTACCAAGCTGCACCCCGTGACTTTGTGCGTGAGGGTTATTCCCCAAGGGGAATTGATGAAGGGGGCACACATGGGTCTGTGAACGTACCATCGTGGAGAGTCGTATTTGTCTCTACCTTGAATCACAGAACTAGGTCGGTTTGCAGGGTCCACCACTGGCGGGATCCTGCTGCGTGGGCGGCATGGTAGGGTTTTTTGTTTTTGGTAGTTTTTTTTTTGTTTGGAACTTTTTTTGATATGCCCCTCAAATTCGATTTATTTGCAGCATGCCCCTCTAACGGCCGACTTACCCTGCAGCGCCCCTCTGACAGAGATTGAAGTTTCTGAAAAACCCCTGGTGTCTTTTGGGCCTGAAAAATGTTCAAATTTGTAGTATGCCCCGGTAGCTCCCCTCCCAGAGCCAGGGGAACAATCACGTGTGCCACCAACGGCCACAGGGGCATGCTGAAAAGTAGCTACGCTCACAGAGAGGGGCCCGCAGGAAAGTTCAGAGGCCCCAGGGGCAGGGCAGGGTAAGTCGGCCGTGGGAGGGGCACAGTGCAAATTTATTGAACTTTCAGGGGCACATCGAACATTTCCCCTATTTTTTTTTTTTAATGGTGACGGCCTTGAGATATCATCATAGAACTGACCCGCCTTAGGTAATTCAGAGTTCTAGTATGTTACTCGTCAGCTTCCAGTGGCGTTCGAACTTTGGTCTGTATTGCACCAGTTCCGGGGCGAGGTCCCACTATCAAAGAGGATTGGATTGAGCACCTGAATCTGGACTTGTTTGTGGAAAGGTGCACAATCAAGTCTGAAACTGGCCTGGGTCCAAGATTCAGCTGAGCCAGGCCAGTTTGTGGCACGGTAGTTTCAGTTTATAGACGGCGGGTGTACCGATGAGTTATAGATGGGGGAGCAGGTGGTGCCCCCAAGGAGAAATGTCTGAGGTGGCAAAAGGAAAAAGGAAAAGACACGAAGTTTCTGGAATTGTGTTGTGTGTGGGGCGCTGCCACGCCGGGGAAATCGTGGGGAAGGGGTGTCTTATGTTTTGTTCCCTGCGTGTGTGTACCATTCAGGCTGATGATTCAGCCACATGGGCGGGGTACTAGAAGGGGTTCGTCCCTGCCCCAACTCATGTTTCATGTGTTTACACCTCAGCCACATGGACTGGGTAGGTACTTCTCTCGTGCTCACGGCAATCTTCAGACGCTGGCGCCACAACTCTCGCCGCCATTCGCATTCTTTATTTGCCCATGGATTCCCAATGCGACTATTCAGCTCTCCGAAAGCGCGAATTCGAGGAGAGGTAGCGTGATAGGCCACGATTGGTTCATTGGAGAGATGGCTTCATTGCCATCGCCTCTGATCTCTGAGCTACTACAGCAGCTTGCGAGTGCTGAGGCAACGAGTGTTAGGCGACGAGTGTTGAGGAGGGATTGTTAACGAGAAGCGATCTAGATGCGTAGAGTACCTAGGTTCTGATTACATTAGGATAGGCAGAAACGCTGGGGCATTTCATGCAGCGGCTTCCCGATCTGTTCTTCCCCCGGGGGTCCATATCTGTCGACCACTTCTTATTCTCTTCCCGCGCCGATCTTCGTTTTCGTGTCTTCGCCGCTTGTTGGCCCTGCTTGGTCTTGCGATTCCCGCCGATCTCCGCTATCGCCGCTTGTTGGCCGCAATCAGAAGGAAGAGGGATCCATTTAGGAGAGTAGGAGGTGTCAAGCAAAGCAACTCGGAAGTGGTTCGACTTGGTGTATGTGATCACACGCTTAGAGAGTATGGCCGGCATTCTCACCGCCAGATTGTGCCGCAGAGCGGCAACGACTTTGTGTAGGCCGCCGTCTTCACTGCTGGGAGGATGCCGAGGGTTTGGAAATTTGAGCGGGGGGGGGGGGGGGGG